TATCTGGCAACCCTTACTCTCCTATGGAGCTCATGGGCAGTATCTCATGATGCACAGTCCCCACGATGACTTCCAGAAGCTAAGGTGGCAAGGGAGGAGCATCAACCCTGGCCAAGGACCCTTGACCACCCAACACAGCAACTGGCCTCCTGGAGTCCTGGACTCTCAGCAGTGGACTAGATACTGAGTGCCATGAACAGGCTCATGAGCTGCCCCAGGCACCACAGCCTCCCCTGGCTTCCAACCACACAGTACTCCGCACTAGAGAGCAGAGCTAGCCCAGGGTCTGCCACTCACCCTATATGGAAGCCCAATCCCTAAATGAGGACACAGGATCACAGCTGATGGTTATAGTGGCCTGTAACTGGTGTGTTCCAACAGAGCCTTCCTGTTTTGCCCATACCTCCATTCTTGTTCCCAGGCAAAACCCATATCCACCTCTAAGTCCAGAGTTTAAAACACTTTGAGGTGTAAGGAATCAATAACCTCATTTTGTCCAAACCCCTCATATTATGGAGGAGAGGAGTGACGGAGGAGGCTGAAGTGACTTGAGAGAGCCACACAGCAGGCTGGTGGGGAAGCTGGGACACCACGAAGGTCCCCGCTCATCCGCTCACACATTCACTCATTTATCATGTAAGTCTTCATTCTATGGGGGCTATGCCAGTTACTGCGGGTACAGAGATGAATTAAGATCACCGGCTAGCTGGAAATGCAGGCATTTCAGTAGCTCTAAGTGCCAGATGGAACATAGTAAAACAAGGACATAGGAGAGGGAGAATAGCTAATAAAAATAGCTAATATTTATTGAGTATTTACTATGTGCCAGGCTCCATTCTAAGTACTTTACATAGATTAATTATTTTAACCCTCACAACAACCATATAAGGTAGATGCTTATAGGGTCACTATGAGTCGGAATCCACTCGACAGCAATGGGTTTTTGTTTTTTTTTATCTGTATTTTATTAATGAGGAAACAGGCATAGACTGGTAAATTAACTTGCCCAAGGTCACAAAGTTAAACCCTTTTGCACTCATGCGTACCTCTAGGAACGAAGTATTTTTTCTGCGTCGGAAGGTTTGTTGGGCAGTTGCTGTGCCACTGACGGTGTGTGATGTTGCAAGGCGGGGGGGGGCCTTTATGACTGTTTGAAACTGAAGAAATAGGTGTATGCTGCAAATTACTATTTTTACAGGGTATTGTATGAGGTGTCTAAATTTTTGGAAGGAAAAATAGAAATTTTGAAAATTTTTATTTGTTACACACATGCACCCGTAGATCCTGGTGGGGATTCTGGGGTATAATTAATGGTGCTTCATATTTATCACTAAACACTTAGGGTAGATTTGTAGGAACAGGCAAGAAAAAAGAAATCCATACTAACTACCAAAAATTCAGACACACTCAATGATTCAGCATGCTGCCATTAACCAAAATACATGGTATCAACAAAAAAGTCTAAGCAGAAAATAACTGGTTCACAAAAGGGTTAAGTGTGCTGCCTTGCTGAGATTTGAACCTAGAGCTTGTGCTTAACCATTTCTAGTTAGGTCTTTGGCAAGTAGGGAAGAAGGGGAGGGCAGAAAGGAGGGTTTATGAATAATTTCACTGAAGAGGAGATATTTGAGTTGGTCTTTGAAGCATGTCTAGGAGTTTACAGGGCTAAGAGGAATGGGCCAAAGAACTGTACCACTCTCATCATCTAATAATTCCCTAGAGTCAAGAGGATGATGTGCTATGCTTCAGGGCTGTGCTCAGACACCAGGCAGGAAGGAGCAGGAGGAGTAACCAATCCTGATGGTAAATGGAAAATTTCCACGTTTGCTGATGATGATCCATTAGAGAGCCACAAGCCACATGTGACTCTTTACATTCAAATTAACTAAAATTTAACATTCAGTTACTCAGTCACACTAGTGCCATTTCAAGTACCCAACAGCCACGTATGGCTGATAGTTACCATATTGGCCAGCGCACAGATCATTGCCATCGTGACAGAAAGTTCCAGGGGACAGGGCTGATAAGGACTCACAGAGCAGACGGAGACAAAGAAGGAGATAAGAGCTGGAGACAAAGAACTGGAGCTAGAAAAGAGGTGCGTGCTCAAGGCAACAGGCCAGGTGGGATGGGAGGCGCAGGGGAGCTGGGTGCTGTGAAGGAGGCCCTGCAAAGCGCAGGAAGCTCCCATTCCTTTTAAGCTCAGAGTTTGCTATCAGGCAGCAAAGCTAACTGGAGCCAGCAACACTAAACAAGGGCGCAACCCACGGACCCTGGGCCCTGATTCTCCCCACATGAAAGGCCTCAGCTCTGATGCCAGCAGTGCAGCAACTGGTGATTCAAACGCCACCTCAGTGAGGCCTGGAGAGAAATTTCCCCTAAATTCCTGCTCTTATCTCCATCTCCGTTTTATGGCTAACTGGAAGTCGTCACAGGCATTTCCAGGACGTGAGATATATGAGCTGAAGAGAAAGCAAAGGGAAAATGAGCAATCGGTACCATGGCACCACCTCTTAGGTGACGGTGGGAGGGGAGCAGCTCAGGGCCCGGCAGGCAGCCAGGCGGGCCGGCTCCAGGTCCCTCGCCAGGAGCCTAACTGCGGCCAAGCCCTGGGCTCCGCAGCACCATGTTCCCAGCAGGTTCCCAGGACCCTGGCTGCCTCCTCAGGGCTGGCCCTCCGTTTCCCTGTCTAGTTTCGGTGAAAACCTCAGGGCCTGAGAAGCCAGAAAAGCAGGTATCAGCTTTTGCACGGCAGGAACCATTTTGAAAACCCCTTCTGTGGGGCTAGTCCCGGCCAGGAGAGTGGGGTCTCCGCCCTCCTCTGGGCTCAGACAGCAGCGTGCAGATTTTTATCTCAGGACTGACACGGGCACTGAAACTCCCCGTTTATGTCCCAGTCTCCTCTGGAGTCTGGAGGAGGAGCAGACCGGGCAGGGAGCAGAGTCGGAGGGTGTCTGGGCCATTGGCCCCTGCTTCTCTGGCATTCTCACCGTATTCACCATACTAAGAACCCACACCCACGATTCTGGGCCGGGAGCCAGTGAGCGCCCAAACGGGAGCAGTGGTTCTCACACCTGAGTGCCTGTCAGAATCCCCTGGAGGGCTGTTAAAACACAGATTGCTTGGTACCACCCCCAGAGTTTCTCATTCAGTTGCTCTGGGCTGGAGCCTGAGAACTGGCATTTCTAACAAGTTTGCAGGCGATGCTGACGCTGCTGGTCTCTGGACTTGAGAACCGCTAAGCTAGACTAAGAAACACTGGATTAGGAGTGAGGAACACTGAATTAAAATCGGCTCTGCCAGTTTCTATCTCTATTGTTGTTAGTTGCCATTGAGTCACCTCCGACTCATGGCGACCCGTGTACAATAGAATGAAACATTGCCCAGTGCCGCACCGTCTTTGCCATTGTTGGCATGCTCGAGTGCACCATTGCGGCCACTGAGCATTCTGAGTGCCTTCTAAGCTAGGGGGCTCATCTTCCAGCACTATATTGGACAATATACGGTTGTGGGTTTTCATTGGCTTATTTTCGAAAGTAGATCACCAGGCCTTTCTTCCTAGCCTGTCTTAGTCTGGAAGCTCTGCTGAAACCTGTCCACCATGGGTGATCCTGCTGGTATTTGAAATACTGGTGGCATAACTTCCATTGTCATAGCAACACCAAGATACCACAGTATGATAAACTGACAGAAAGATGGTGGTCTAGCTCTATATTCATGGGCTAATCGCTCCATCACCAAATGCTTAGGTTTCCTCATCTGTTTGACCTATCTCGGGATTATGGTGTGGAACAAAGTAGCTAACAGATGTGAAAATAATTTGTTAGTGGTTAAAATGCTCTGTGTAAATATGGATGAAATAGATTTGGGGGAGGATAGGTCAGAAATGAAGGAGCCCTGGTGGCATAATAGTTAAAGCCCTTAGATGCTAACTGAAAGGTTGGTGGTTCAAAGCCACTAGCCACTTCATGGGAGAAAAGACCTGGTGATCTGTTCCCACAAAGATGACAGCCTAGGAATCCTTATGGGGCAGTTCCACCTGTCCTGTAGGTTCGCTATGAGTTGAAATTGATTCAGTGGCACACAACAAGAACAACAGGTCAGAAACATGCAAAGGAGATAGAAGGAGTCTGCCCAGAAAGGAGAACAGGTTCAGGAAATCAGCAGTTGGCTCTGTGGACTGCCGTGATCAGGTTCTGTAACCCCAGGGGGACCCTCAGCATACTTAGGGACTTCATACTGCTGGGTTTTGAGCCAGAAACTCTCCTCTCAGAGTTATTTGCGAGGCTGCCTTCTTTTCAGTCAAGTCTGCTTGAAAGGTGTCTCCTTAGGAAGGCCTTCTCTGCTTAAAATGGTCCCCGTGCTCCTCCAGCCCCTCGCAATTCCTTACCCTGCTGGATTTTCCTCACAGGACTTATCACAACCTGGAGCCACATTATAAATTCATATATCCACTTGTTTACTTGATTATTGCCTGGAATGTAAGCTCCCTGAATCAGGAACTTTGTCCGTCTTATTTACACTGTAGTTTAGTAATTAGCTGCTGCTGTTAGCTGCTGTTGAGTCAGCCCCTGACTCGTGGCCACGCCGTGTGTGCAGGGCAGAATTGCTCTATAGGGTTTTCTGGGCTATAATCTTTACGGAGCAGGCCTTTTCTTCCATGAAGCTGCTGGGTAGGTTCAAACCGCCAACCTTTGGGTTAGCCGTCATTTGCAAACTGCTCGCGCCACCCGGGCTCAGTAGAACCTACAACAGTCCCTAAATATTTGGTTAATAAGTGAGTGAATCTTGGTTTCCTCAACTCTGAAAAGAGAAGGTAGAACCACGTGGTCTCGAAAGTCTCTTCCAATTATAACAATCAGATTTTTAAAGTGTTGCCGGGATTTGTACTGCTTCAGAGTCTTATGATGTGAATGCTCACCACCACAAACGACTCCTAGGTGTTTTTCTGAGTGTGTGACAGGGATCATGGGATCTGAAGGCGAAAACAAGAGGGAAAGAAAGCTGAGGTCCATCCTCCTTGCCCCTCTCAGCCTTGATGCTCATAAGTGGCCCTTTTCACCCCTCCACTCCAGGAACACTGATCTCTCACAACCACCTACCTGCTCTGGACGGACTTGGGAGTTGATCAGAAGGTACACAACTGAATCAGACAGGCCAATATTTTGTATGAGAAACAGCGTCAGTGTTTCTTCATCCTTTAGGATATCTCGAATTCGTATTCCTCTTCCTGTATACGAATGAGAGAAACAGCAGGGTGTTCAAGGGGAGATGAGTCAAAAAAATGAAACTGCTAGAATTGATGGGAAATGTTTCTAACTTGACTATTAGAAAAAGGCACCGTTCTTGGGTTCCCTGGGAGCACCTGGAGGTCAGGGCTCCCATGAGTAGATATTGTCACAGTCACAACATTTACTGCTGAACAGGCGGGCAAATTTTAATAAGAAGGCACAGAAGGAGAAAAAAGTTAGCCTGGGGGGCACGTCAGATGCTTTGTAGGGTTTGTTGAGGACAGTAGTTCTTATCCAGGTCGGAAGCAGTTGGAGAGGGGCGATTTTGTCCACCAGGGAACATTTGGCAAATTAACATTTTGGTTGTTACAACTGGAGAGGTGTTACTGTAGCTAGTGAGAAGAGACCAGAGATGCTACCAAACATCCTGTGATGCACAGGATGTGTAAGAAAGCCTCTGTGAGAGATGGAAGCACACAACACTCAACAAAGAATTAGCCAGCCCAAATGTCAATAGTGCCGAGGTTGAGAAACCCTGATCTAGGGTTGGAAGAGATATGTGCTCTGCCCACACTGCAGTTGCCTTGGGGTCAAGGACCTTTCCTGGCATTTCTGTCATCTCAGCTCAGGTTCTAAGCTCAGGGCATTGACATAGACTAAGAGAGATGGAGGAGCCCCGGTGGCACAGAGGTCAAAACTCTCAGCTGCTAACCAAAAGGTTGGCAGTTTGAACTCACCAGCTGCTCTGCAGGAGAAGCATGTGGAAGTCTGCCTTCCATAAAGATTTACAGCCTTGGAAACCCAATGGGGCAGTTCTACTCTGCCCCACAGGGTTGCTATGAGTTAGAATCAACTTGATAGCAGTGGGTGAAGAGAGATGCGGCTGTTTTTGGCAGGAAAACCTTCAAGTCAGAAAGAGAAGGCTTATTGCCTGGGCTTGAGTCTTCATACCCGTCTTAGTTCTCTAGAGCTGCTGTAACAGAAATACCATAAGCGAATGACTTTAACAAACAGAAATTTATTTGCTCACAGTTTAGGAGTCTAGAAGTCCAAATTTAAGGTGCCAACTCTAGGGGAAGGCTACCTCTCTGTCAGCTCTGGAGGAATGTCCTTGTCTCTTCAGCTTCTGCTTCCTTGGAGATCTCCATGTGTCTTGGCATCCATCTTGCCTCATCTCTGCTTGCTGTCTTACTTGTTTAATCTCTTTTGTATCTCAATTGACTCAAGATACACCCTACACTAATCCTGTCTCATTAACATAACAAAGACAACCCATTCCCAAACGGGATTATAACCACAGGCATAGAGGCTAGGATTTACAACATATGTTTTCGGGGGACACAATTCAATACATAGTAATGCCCATAGGGGATCATGAAGTCACATTGTCTCCAGCTCTATACCAACCTGGTGGAAGCAGGAATTTCTTTATAAAGAGGCATAAAGTTCTCCCAACAGTTAAGGTGACCTTGGGGGCAAATCATTGAACTTCTCTGTGTCCTCACTTTCTACATCTACTTTATAGGTTGTTGTGGGGTGATATGGGATAAGAAATATAAAGTGCTTAGCTCTCAGGCCTAAAAACAGTAAGCACTCAAGAAGTGCTTCTTCTAATTGCATTAATATTAATTTTACCCCTCCTAGGAGATTCATGGAGCCCTGGTCGAGCAGTGGTTAAGAACTTGGCTGCTAACCGAAAGACTGGCAGTTCAAGTCCACCAGCTGCTCCTTGCAAACCCTATGGGGCAATTGTACTCTCTGTCCTATAGGGTTGCTGTGAGTTGGAGTCAACTCAACGAAACAAGTTTGTTTCTTTTTTTTTTAGGGATTCAAACCAGCACCCACCTCCTCTGTCTGCTTCTCAGCCTCAAGCAGCCCAGAAAAGAGGGTTACAGGCCCGGATCCTTATGAGTCATTTCAACATTAAGGGAAAGCTTTCAGGTTGTGTAAAAATGCTTATCTCTGTGTCCCAAGATCTCCAAAAGTCTGATTGACTGTTTATCTCTTAGTTCTTTAACCAACTTGAGTCATCAAATGCCCCTGCTCCTTCCTGATCCTAACATCCCCATCCTAGCAACCCCATCCTCTCTCACCCCAAGTTCTCCCCTCAGCCAGGCAGCAGAGAGGCCTACCCCCCTGAGAGCTTGACAACCATCCTTTCCATTTTCAGTTGGTGACTTCTCCTGTACAGTGCCTTGTCAGTTTGAGTTTGTTGATAATTTCCTCTTGAAGGGCAACCGACCAAGCCCCTAGGATTGGCCATGCAGGAGGGGCAGGAGGCCCAGTCCTGGAGTTCTGCCGCACAGCAGCCTCCATTGCTGTGAATGGTGCCCCTTAAGGTTGGGCCACCTGGTAGCCCAGTGTCACTACCCTTTGCATAGGAAAAGTCCATAGGCTTTGGGGTAACCTGAACACAGGAGCGGGTCCCAAGGGAGGAAGAGGGCTGTTTCTGCAGTATTCTGAGAGGGATTGCTCTGCTTTATTCTTCCCTTCTCTCCTTTTTGATAACATAAGTCCTGTCTTCTTCCAAACCCGGCTCCTTCTTCCTTTCCTCTTTCCCCTGGGGCACCAGCTCAACTGCCCTTCTCCCAATCACTTCTTTATGTACAGCCTCATGTTATTACATGCTCATATCCAGAAACACCACCCCCAACACACACACACACACACACACACACACACACACACACACGCACCCCTCTTGAGACTAGGGCCTATGGATCCTGCTTTTATTATACTTCTCATCATACCTAGCCACACTGGTCACACAGACGTATCCCTTGAGGTCACCTCTCTGACCCCCAGCATTGGAGCCTGACATCAAGTTAGGGCCTCAATGAAAGTCTGTGGAATGACAGGAGGCACCCAATAAATACCTGTTGCCTTGACCTGAGAGTCATGACCCCTTTGACTGTTTATCTCTTAGTTATTCTTTAACTTACTTACCTGACCTTACATACGAATACCTGGCAGGATAGAAGGTCAAAACCTGGGAAAGCGGGAGCAATTTTGTGAGACATCGCACAATACACCACCCAGGTGACTGGGCTGCTGTGGCCCTAGGGAGAAGGGACAGGAACGTGCTGGTTCAACACACACCTGAGGAGGGGGTGGGGACCACCCTGTGGGGAAAGCGGAGGCCCCAAAGTGTGAGAAATGGCCGATACCAGACAAAAGCTTCCCTAGGCTCCTGAGGGAGAAATGTGAACTGGGGGCCTGAGGAAAGAAAAATAAATTTAGGTTAAAATGTGGTTCTTCTTGTTCTCACCCCTGGGAAGACTAGAGGCTGGGGGACAGAGCTGAGGGGCAGATGGGAGGGAAGCCAGGGAGAATGCTTGAGGCTCACGGGAAGAAGGTGTTTTAAAGATGATTGAGAGACCACAGAGCTTGCTTGGGGGTGGGAGGGGAGGGGGCTTCATGTCTGGTCTTTGCCATTAATCCTCCCCTTCTGAGAATGCAGTACTACAGGTTTGCTATGAAAGGAAGACCCTGCCCGGTTCAACCATTGGCATACTTTCCCAGGTGACCGGGACAGGCAAAAGCACACACGGCAGCACCCGCCTACTTTGCTTTCAAAGCTTAACTCTTCACTGAGGCTTCAGGCTTACAGTTTCATGCTAACCTACCTACAGGTGCCTCTTAGACTCTGCAATAGTCTATGGTGCTGACAGTGGGCTTCAGTCCCAGGCCTGGGGCTTCTTCAGGGACCGTGTCCCTTACTTGGGGACAGTCCACCGCCCCCTGTCATAATCATGAAGGTCGGGGGCTCTGCAGAGTCTCTGTTCCCAGTGCAAAAATTTCTTTGGGGAGTCTTAGCTGGCCTTCCCTGACCTCTTCTCTCTAGACCCTCTAAACTGCTCTCTTTCCAGGAATTTTCCCTGCAATCTGAGAGCTTGCAGAAAGAACCACCTCTTATCGTTGTTATTATTGTTAGGTGCCATCGAGTCAGTTCCGACTCATAGTGACCCCATGTACAACAGAACAAAACACTGCCCAGTCTTGCGCCGCCCTCACAATCATTGCTACGTTTCAGCCCATTGCTGTAGCCACTGTATCAATCCATCTTGTTGAGGGTCTTGCTCTTTTTCGCTGACACTCTTCTTTGCCAAGCATGATGTCCTTCTCCAGGGACTGGTCCCTCCTGATAATATGTCCAAAGTAAGGGAGATGAAGTCTCACCATCCTCCCTTCTACGGAGCATTCTAGTTGTGCTTCTTCCAAGACAGATTTGATCGTTCTTTTGGCAGTCCATAGTAAATTCAATATTTTTTGCAAACACCACAATTCAAAGGCATCAATTCTTCTTTTGGTCTTCCTTATTCATTGTCCAGATTTTGCATGCATATGAAGTGACTGAAAACACCATGGCTTGGGTCAGGCGCACCTTAGTCCTTAAAGTGATATCTTTGCTTTTTAACACTTTAAAGAGGTCTTTTGCAGCAGATTTGCCCAGCGCAATACGTCATTTGATTTCTTGACTGCTGCTTCCATGGTGTTGACTGTGGATCCAAGTAAAATGAAATCCTTGACAACTTCAGTCTTTTCTCCATTTATCATGATGTTGCTTATTGGTCCAGTCATGAGGATTTTTGTTTTCTTTATGTTGAGGTGTAATCCATACTGAAGGCTATAGTCCTTGATCTTCATCAGTAAGTGCTTCGAGTCCTCTTCACTTTCAGCAAGCAAGGTTGTGTCATCTACATATTGCAGATTGTTAATGAGTTTTCCTCCAACTCTGATGTCCTATTCTTCTTCATATAGTCCAGTTTCTCAGATTATTTGCTCAGTATGCCATTCAAAATGAGTCCTGCTTTCGGATTAAAACAAAACGAAAACCGAATCTGTTGTTGAGTCAGCCCGCAACTCATGGCGACCCCATGTGCGATAGAGTAGAACTAATCCATGGGGTTTTCTTGGCTGTAAACCTTACAGAAGCAGATGGCTGGGCCGTTCTTCTGTGGTGCCACTGGGTGGGTTCAAACTACCAACCTTTAGGCTAGTGGTCAAGTGCAAACTGTTTGCACCACGCAGGGACTTTGCTTTTGGATTAGGAAGCAGTGATTTTGGTTCTCATGTACACATTGTAAAGACCACAGAGAAATAGTGTTTTGAAATGACTTCCTTTAAGCGTCCTCCCAGCCAGACTGGCTTTGACAATCAGACACATCAATGAAATGTCCCTTCATCATAGATCCCGCTGGATCAATGGGGGCTATGTCACTCTAGGAGCTAGATAGCCCATGTTCTCCTCTGCCTGCTTTACCTTGGAAAAAACACGTTCTAGCTGGTGCTTCCCCTTCCTTCTTATCATTAAAATGCTGATTGTGCTCATCCCTTATAAGGTCCTTCAAACTTGAACTAAAATAAACTGTTCTATCCAGAGCAGCAAAGAATGTAGTGCTTGTAATTTGCTTTGTAGAAAATTACTACATAAAGTATATAACCCTTCCCCCACCCCACCCCACCCCCAAAAAAACCACTGCTGTTGAGTTGATTCCGACTCATAGCAACCTCATAGGGTTTGCAAGGCTGTAATGTTTACAGAAATAGACTTCCACATCTTTCTCCCGCGGAGCCGCTGGTGGTTTCCAACACCAACCTTTCAGCTAACAGTCGAACAGCCAGGGCTCCTTCACAAAGTATATGTTTCACTATTTTAAAAATAATTAAAATGTAATTGAATCATCTTAACGTGCCAATCTTAACATAATTTTGTCTGTTACTGCTTCAGTGGTGGGAGAAGGGAGAAGGTGGAAAGATGGGCAGAAGATCAGATTCTCTTTGGATAGGTTTCCCATCCTGATTCCCCTGCGTTCTTGAAGCTCCCATTGCTTCCCTCCAGATCCCCGCACGTGTGGTCATTGTCCGTTTGCTCATCTCTTTCCACTTCTGCCCTGGGAGCCCTTGAGGGCAGCACTCGATGACTCATCTCTCTATTCCAGAGACTAGCACAGTGCCTGGCACACAGTAAGCACTCACCAAATGTCTGCTGAATGTTGACTGAGCCGCAGGGGTGAGGAGCCCAGGGGCTGATTCACTCCACTCTCCCTCACAGCTGGACTTGGCAAGGACCTTTCTCCACCCCCCTGGAACCCTGAGCAGAGCCTGTTCTCTTCACCATTCTCATCCCCCTGGTAGTCCTCTCCTTCATCCCTGTCATCCTCTAAGGTCAACCCTAGAGCCGACTCTCCCCTTCCCCCCACCCAACACCCAGGCTCTTGTTCCTAGCAATGTACATCTCCCAGCAGCTCCGAACTGCTTCCTCTGGAGCCTCTGAGCCCTATTCTACTGTGAACAACCTTCTCCCACTAGCAGCCTTTCATAGGAGGACACTCCTTTAGTCCTCTGCAGAGGGACCTGCTGCACACGAGACAACCACACAACATCCATTTATCCTTTAAAAGAAATCCTGTTGCTGTCACTGTTGTTGATTTCTGTTTGTTTCCTATTTTCCCCTTGGGGAGCAGAGACATATGAGAGGGAGAACCTTACTCCTTCTCATCACCGTTCCTAATTCCAAGTGGCTCTCTGACCCTCGTGGCAATGGACCTTTTCTCTCTGTCCCATCTCTGCCTCCATCCTGCACAACCTCAGTGTCCATGTGGCAACTCATCTAATAGCCTGGCCTCTCATTTCCTTCACCTCACCATTTCCAAAAGCCTTCACTTCTGCTCCACTTCAACCACCATGGCCACACATGGGGGCTTGTTCCAACCTAGTACTGCCTGTCTTTGAAATCCTGAGTTTGGATATTTCACTTTCTGACCACAGCTACCAATCCTTCTTTCTTATTCATTTTCTCAGTCTCTTACCCAGGCTCATTGAATCCATTGAGACCTCTACTCGCCTTTTCTGCCCTCCATTTTTTCCTAGCCCATCTCAGTCCTTTTGGCTTCTCTTCCATCCTATTGCAGCCTGGACCTGACAACCTATAGTCCAATCATTGACCTCAACCCCCTTGCCTCCTTGACCTTCTGTGGCACCTCCCTGAAAGCTGTAAGCCCTGCATCAACCCACGCTCTACCCTCTCTGCTTCAGTGCCTGGGATGCTGAATATTACTAGAAAAAATCATACAATTGCACATATTTATGGCATGATACACATATGGTCTCTGACCTCCCTTGGGTCCTTAAGATTACTCAGCATTGTTTCTACATGCTCCTGGTTAGATCTCTCTAAGACTCTATGAAAGCTTTTCTACACCTTTACCTGCTCTGCAATCCTCACCTCCTGCTTCTAGCATTTAACCTAGCCTCATACTTCTAAAAACATAATCTTACTGGGACAAGATCTTTCCTTCCCTCCTTTCCAACTTCCTACCTTCTAGACTGACCTGGAGGAAGAGGCAACCTCACCAAGGTGCATCCTCATACCTCCTCTATATCTCATCCCTTCCTGCCTCCTCTGGTATCTTTTCCCACCAAATACCCCACTCTTTCCTAGTTTCAGTCTCTCTGATGAGTGAGGCAAGAGGAAGACAAGAAGTATGGTTGAGCAAACGAGGCCTATCTCACCTGCAATTCTCTCAGGGTGAGTCCGAAGTGTGTCCATGAACTGGGACAAGGTGCGGAGCTCTGTCCAAACCTGACCGAGGTGCTGGCTGTCTGGTGTATCCATAACGATTTCTTGAAAATCTCGATACACCCTTGCCAAACTGTAAGAAGGACAAAGCTTCATCAATAAAGAAGTAGCTGTCATTTTCATAATAATAATACTAATAATAATACTTTGTGCTTTTTTTTTTTTTTAAAGACACCATGTGGTTGACCTGGCTGCTACATTATGTATCCTTACAATACTTCTAAGGAAAAAGGAGAAAAAATATTTTATTTTCTCATACATATAGGATAGAAGGAGGGGGAGAAGGAGTGTTTTGTTCAGTCTTCCAGTTTTGGCAGGGCCAGGTCACCTTGTAACCCATGCTCTGTGTCTCCTGTCCAGAGAAGCCTTAAACAGGATGTCTTAGTCATCTTGTGCTGCTGTGACAGAAATACCATAAGTGGATGACTTCAACAAAGAGAAATGTATTGTGCTACAGTCTAGTAGGTTACAAGTCCAAATTCAGGACATCAGCTCCAGGGAGGCTTTCTCTCTCTGTCAGCTCTGGAGGAAGTTCCTCATTGTCATCAATCTTCCTCCAGACTAGGAGATTCTCCGTGCAGTGACCATGGGTCCAAAGGATGCCCTCTGCTCCTGGCACTGCTTTCTTGGTGCTATGAGGTCCCCAATTCTCTGCTTGCTTCTCTTTCCTTTTATTTCTTGTAAGATAAAAAGTGGTGCAGGCCTTACCCCAGGAAAATTCCCCTTACATCGGATCAGGGATGTGAACTTAGTAAGGGTATTACAATCCCACCCTAATCCTCTTTAACAGAATTACAATCACAAAATAGAGGACAACCACACAATACTGGGAATCATGGCCCAGCCAAACTGATATACACATTTTTTGGGGGGACATAATTAAGTCCATGACACAGGATGATATTAGTGGTAGACATTATTGGAGTTTTGTTCCAGCCTTTGCTCGCTTCTCTGGGACCTGTCCTTTCATCCATTCATAGGGGTAGTCTCTGCCAGCTATATGTAATCCACAGCATCCTCCGTTCACACACACTCACACAAATAAACACACACACACGGGCATGTGCTCACATTCATACTCACACTTACATATATGTGCACACACTCACACATGTGCACACACGTGTGAACATACCCCTCCACATATACTCATACATGCACATACACACATTCACACATGTGCACATACACATACATGTGTGCACACACACTCATACACACACACACATGCTCACACCTCTGCCACAGCTGATTGGACAAGGAGTTTGAGCGGGATTCAGAGATGCACTTCTGGTTTCCCAAACTCAGGTGCTGTGAACTGGGTGATGTGTGCCAGCCTGGGGTGTTGAGAGGCAGGGAGAACTGGTCCAAACAGAGAGGCGAGTGGGGTGGATGCACAGAGAGAGGAAGAGGCTGGGCCCTGCAGGCCCAGGTGGGAGAGAGCTGAGGGTACTGCTCTTGGCAGTTCCCCAGTTCTTGTCCCTGCCCCTCCTGACATCTGCCTTACTGCCCTTGGCTTTGTGAGAAATCATGCATTTTAGTCTCCAAATCACACATTTCGCTCTGAGATTTAAGCTTGTTTGAATGGGGTTCTGTGCCTTGCAAGCGTAAGAATCCTAAATAAACCAGTATTTCAATCATAATATACGAAACATGAAACCTAGATTTCCTGGATCAAGCATAGCTGGAGTCTGGGGTCCCCCTTCCCCCACATTCAACCTTCCTCAATGACACTTATAAAAACTACTGGTGTGAGCACCACCGAAGCTGCATCTAGGCCCCGACTGAGCTTTCTCCAAGGTTCCCCTGATCCCACCATGAGACCTCACCAGATCTTTCTGGATGGGTAGGTGTTTCTTCTCAGGAACTTCAAGGAGTTCCAAATTGAAAGTGTAGAATGTAAAGCTTCAAGGCACCATTTGTGCCAATGTGAACCCAGCTAATATGTCACCTCCCTGACTTTCTCCTAAGGAGAAGTGTTGCCTCTTCTATGTTCCTATAATACAGAGTTCAGCAAAATTTTTGTAAAGGGTCAGATAATAAATATTATAGGCTTGCAGGCCATGTGGTCTCAGTCACAACGACTCAGCTCTGCAATTACAGGGCAGACATCCATAGTTTGTTCCCAGTGGGGAAGGCCACCTCTGAGCCTTAGGTGATGACCCACCTAATGTTCCTTTCTTTCAGTCTAAACACAGGTTTGTCCTGGATGAATTATACCTGGACCTCCTCCAAGTAAAAAAATTGGGATAACCAAATAGCTCAGTAATCCATATAATCTTCTATTTATACAAGTGGGATAAAGCCCCTGCCCCAACAAGCCCTTGTTGGTGACCCTTATGTTGGGCTTCACCAGCTGTGGCTCAAGGTTAGCAGAGCGGGTGGAGGATGGCCCTATTCATGTTCAAGTACATGTTCAAGGACACACTCAATCACCTACCCCCAACTCCTGCTCTGAAGGGGAATTTCAAAGGGGGCATCGCTTCCTATGGGATTTGATTTGAAATTCAACTCAGGACCATTACTAACCTGGAGTCCACAAATTCCCTGAAACCGTATGTAAGATATAATGTTTTCTGCACGTGGCCAGTTTCTTCAGGATAGTTTCCATGAGCTTCTGTGAATGGTCTTCTGCCACAAAGGTTAAGAACCACTACTCTCAAGCCATATCCTAAGATTTTGCTACCCAAGAGAACTGAGGCAATTACAACAAAGTGTTTGGAGTTTGTTTCTTCTTTCAAGAAGAAAGCTTCATCTTGTAAACCTGATTTCATTCACCCTCTCAACATTCCCTGATATTTTCCTTAGCCCTTAGATGTCCAAGAAGGATTTTAAAGGAAGCAGAGACCTGCTGGGGTTGACCTGGGGTGGAGGGTGAGGGGAATGAGTTCTTCTCACCTAGTGACCCTACCCAAGCATATGGATGACCAGGGTGTGGTGGACATGTGTCAGCAGAGGGGAAGCCACCAGAGTCCAGGCCACATCCTGGGGACATAAAGACCAAGAAGTTGTGTCCACATGACCTTATTCTGAAGCTCTCTCCATAAGTGCCCCAGCAGCTAATAGAATGTTCCAGAAAGGAAACCTGCTGTGCTCATAAGAGCTTAGGGGCTTAGCAGGCCACAAAGTACTCTTTCAGTGTGTACATGCTCTGTGTGTGCATACACGTATGTTCTGATGCATGATGGAGAATAAAAGGGTGTACAACTTCCTCCCCCATCTGGTGGGAGTCTTAACACTTACATGGAGTTGTTATAGTTTGACACAATTCCAGGAGATTCTCCTGGGGTAGGGTGCTGAAAACAAGGATTGTTCACATTGCAGAAGATCCCCTGGAGCCATGGCAACATTCCTGCTGAGGGCATCGCCTTGTTGGGAAAATGGCCTTTAAGACAGGAAATGGAGACAAGAAGGAGTTAGTCACCGGGACCAAGGTGGATGCAGGCCCTAGAAGCTGGGGAGCCTAGGCCCCTCTGGTGCTTTCCTTCATTCATAACATTTAAGAATTAGGAACATCTAGTATACGCCCTATAGTGGGTGCTGGAGACAACGTCTTTTCCCTCAAGCTCCCAGTCTAGTGGGGAGACAGGCAAATGTCCTAATAGAGGCATGGGCAGAGTAAGAGGGAAGAGAGGGGAACACATCATTCTGTGGTGGGGGCACAGGGCAGCAGAATGTTATCTCAAGAAGGTTCTACAAGGTTGCCGATCCTTGAGGATGAAAGAGTTCACTAGGAGGAGAAGAGGTCCATCTATTCCTTCAACAACCGTATTGAACCCTTGTCCCCAAGCATGTAGGAGAGTTACAGGTTATGGGCTCCTTGGCAGTGAGGGAAAGAAGCAAGATTTGATGGAAAGGAGGCTGATTCAGAACTTGGGCCTTGAAAGTGATGAACAAGAGGGTGAGGAGCAAGGAAAAGGAAATGAGCTGCTTTGCATAGCCCCTGAGACCTCCAAATTCAACTGCCTAGAGGGAGAAGATGTTGCCTTGGCCAGAAATCGGATTAAGGCTTTCCCAGAGGGTTAATATAAAGAGTTACATACAAGGTTCGTTCCAGGTCATAGGCCATCTCTGACGTCCAAGAGATAATGTTTTATTAAGTGTGATTGTATGGCATGCTTCTCCTCTATTTTCTCTGTTGTTGTTGTTGTCAGGTGCCGTCAAGTCATTTCTGACTCATAGCAACCCCATGTACAACAGAACAAAACACTGCCCAGTCCTGCACCATCCTCACAATCATTGCTATGTTTAAAAAGCCCATTGTTGCAGCCACTGTGTCAATCCATCTTGTTGAGGGTCTCCCTCTTTTTCACTGACCTTCCACTTTACCAAGCATGATGTCCTTCATCCATGTCCAAAGTACCTGAGATGACATCTTGCCATCCTCACTTCTAAGGAGCATTCTGGCTGTACTTCTTCCAAGACATATGTTTGTTCTTTTGGCAGCCCACGGTATATTCAATATTCTTTGCCAACACCATAATTCAAAGACATCAATTCTTCTTAGGTCTTCCTTATTCATTGCCTAGCTTTCCCATGCATATGAGGCGATTGAAAATACCATGGCTTGGGTCAGGAACACCTTACTCTCAAAGTGACATTTTCGCTTCTTAACATTTTAAAAAGTCTTTTGCAGCAGATTTGCCCAAAGCCATACAGCATTTGATTTCTTGACTGCTGCTTCCATGGGCATTGATTGTGGATACCAGTAAAATGAAATCCTTGACAACTTCAATATTTTCTCTGTTTATTATGATGTTGCTTATTGGTTCAGTTGTGAGAATTTTTGTTTTCTTTATGTTAACGTATAATCCATACTGAAGGCTGTAGTCTTTGATCTTCATCAGTAAGTGCTTCAAGTCCTCTTCAGTTTCAGCAAGCAAGTTTGTGTCATCTGCATATCACAGGTTGTTAGTGAGCCTTCTTCCAATCCTGATGCCGTGTTCTTCATAGAGTCCAGCTTCTCAGATTATTTGCTCAGCATACAGATTGAATAAGTATGGTGAAAGGATACAACCCTGACACACACCCTTCTTGATTTTAAGCCATGCAGTATTCCCTTGTTCTGTTTGAACAGCTGCCTCTTGGTATATGTACAAGTTACGCATGACCACAATTAAGTGTTCTGGAATCCCCATTATTCACAATGTTATCCATAATCTTCACAATGTTATCCACAATAATCCAATGTTATCCATGATCCACACTCGTCGAATGCCTTTGCATAGTCAATAAAACACACATAAGCAACTTTCTGGTATTCTCTGCTTTCAGTCAAGATCCATCTGACATCAGCAATGATATCCCTGGTTCCATGTCCTCTTCTGAATCCAACTTGAATTTCTGGCAGTTCCCTGTCAATGTACTGCTGCAATCATTTTTGAATTAACTTCAGCATAATTTTACTTGCATGTAATATTAATGATATCGTTCAATAATTTTCACCTTTCTTTGGAATAGGCATGAATATGG